CAGTGTTTCATTCTCACTGAGTTGCTATGAGTCGGAACCGACTCAATGGCATCTAACAACAACAACTGAAATATTTATGAATGGAGTGATATATCTGGGATCTGCTTAACAAATAACATGAAGGTAGGGGCAGTGGGTGGGAATACAGACAAAACAAGATAGGCTGTGAGATGATAATTGTTGAAGCTGGTGACGGGTGCACTGGGGTTCATTATAAGAGTCTATTTTTGTGTATGTTTAAATTTTTTCATAGCATAAAGTTTAAAAAGTGTCTAATTTTGATTCAGCATTTCCACTTCTAGGAATTTATCCTAAAGATATATCACACACGTACAGAATAATTTATGTGCAAAGATATTTATTATAGGATTATTTGAAAGAGCAAAAGATAATAAAAAAACTAAATTGATTAGGTTAAATTACGGAACACTATGCAGCTGTTAAAAACGAACAAGGCAGCTAAATATGTATTGATATGGTACAATCTTCAAGATGTATGGTTAAGTGAAAATAGCAATGTTAGAAATTTGCTACCATTTATGTAAAAAATTGATAAAAAGTGTGTTATGTGTATGTCTATGCTTATGCAGACATAAAAATCAGGACATATATACAAGAACTAAATATCAGTGACTGTTCCATAAAGGATGACTGGGTGGGAGGGGTGTAGAGATAGTGGGGAGGCTCACTTATCTCTGTATACAAAATTTCAACTTCAAAATTTTTATCCTGTGCATGTGTTTTAACTATTCAAAGTAACAATTTTTAATGTCACCTCTAACTGAACACCCTCTCCTCACTTATCAACAGGATTAGGTTCCCAAGACCAGGTCGTTGTGTGAAATAAGCATTATGCAAAACTGGAGTGTCAGTTTGTTCCACTTCAATCAGTTATACTGCTAACTGTACTGTCAGTGGGACAGCAGGTTCCCAGTAACCTTGAGAGGGAGAAAATGCAGGTGGGCACTATATGTCCCACTGGTCACGTTAATGCACAAAATTGTCGGATAAAAGATTTTTTTTACTATTGTCGTAATGTGAAATGTTGAATAACGAGATAGTTGATAAGTGATGGGAAGGTGTAAATCCCAATCAAGAAATCACTTTAAGGAAAAAATGACATATAGAACACTACTTCCTAATGTTTTGTAGGCAACAGCTATGCAGAAAACGCAGGTGTTTTTATCAAAAACTCGGGATAACTGATAAGATGGCTGGCATCAGAGTGCAGCTGACCTTCTGCCTGGGACACTGCCTGGCTACCCCAAGGGGTAAGAGGATCAATTTCTTGAGGTTCCTACACAAGTCTCAATCCAGATGTCACTGGGGTTGGACCAAAGCTCTTTTCTCCATCATTGTGATATTCTGGAGTTACAATATCATAACTGTGAAAACACAGTTAATCCAGAGCAGGTGAAGTTCCAGACAGTCCATTAAAAATTAGTTTCTTAATTTTAATAGATTTATTTTTATCTTCATAAATGACAACCATTTATAATTTGTTTTTTGGAAGCTATCCTTGTCTAGTTTTGTTATCAGAATTTTATTTGACCTTCAAAATGAATTGGCAAGCTTCCCTTAGTGATTATCTGTTCCTTGAAGTTTCTATTATTAAACTGTTTTCTTTAAAAGGACAGGGCTTTGATGACTTTTAAAATCCTTCTACAATCATTGATTTATTCAAGTATTCCACATTTTCTTGAACCAATGTGGATATTTTGTAAAAAATCTGTTTTTTCTAGATTTTCAACTGGGATGAAGTCATGCATAGTATTTTTAAAATACCCACCCTCTCTCTTTTGTAATGTTAAATGTGTGTTATGTTTTTTCTAGATCAGATTTGTCAATAGTCTAGCTTACTGTATTGCTAAATAAACAGCCTTTGGATTAAGTCTACTGTTTTGTTTTCTGTGTTATTAATTTTGTCTTTTTTTTTAAAAAAAATAATCCTTTTTACTGTTGACTTTGGTGTATGTTGTAATTTCTCTATAACTATTCATTCATTCAACATGCTTAGTATGTGACTGGCAATGCCTAGTGCTGGAGAGTTACACTTGGTGACCAAAGCTCCTGCCTACTGTCCTTGGGTTCTGGTGGGAGAACATCTTTGGCTACTCTGTACTGGTTTCAATCAGGAGAATTCACTGACATTCATTTCTAGTTTCTCATTTTAGTTTTGGTTTCTCTTTAGACTAAGTTATACTTAGAAGCGTTTTAGATTTCCAAATGGGAGATTTCTTTTGGCTACTCTTCTGTTAATTTCTATTCTGAATTCCTAATCTTTTGAATGAAGGCCTTTTCACAATAATTACACTTTACTACTGTTTTTCAGAATGAATCACCAGAACAAGTAGTTATGAAGGCTTTTTGATACTTAATACACTCATAAAGCCTTCCTTTCACATGAACTCCTTAACAGTAATACTGATAAAAATGATAACAATTACAGCTAATATTTATTGAGCACATGTATATACCAGATCCTCTTCCCAAGGCTTTATATAAAACATTTGATTCAGTCCTCACAAAAACTCTATTAGGAGTTATAACTATCACCACTTAAGTAAACCAAGGGTCAGAGAGATTGCATAATTTGCTCAATGCTATAGGGTCAGTAATTGGTGGAGCTGAGGCAATGTTGGAGCCCTAGTGGCACAGTGGTTAAAAGCTATGGCTGCTAACCAAAAGGTCAGCAGTTTGAATCCACTAGTCACTCCTTGGAAATCCTATGGGGCAGTTCTACTATGTCCTATAGGGTCGCTAGGAGTCAGAATCAACTCGACAGCAACGGGTTTGGTTTTTTTGGTTTGGAGGCAATGTTAAGATATATGCCATGGTTAAAGGCAAATTCATAAAATATTTTAGTATTTCTCTATTAGGAATTCTCAGAAATTTAACAAATTTTGAGTGGTAATAGATTTTATACATTCATATTAATATATCTTTCAGCATAATTTCTCTACTGCTTAGTAAACACTGAGTGTCAGGCAAACAGAATCTCACCTTTATTAGATTTTCTTCTGGTATGAGTTCTCTTATGTTCCATAATGGAGGTGGCAAATGAAGGTTTTCTGACATTAATTACAACACATAAAAATTATCTAGTATTGAGCTGGGTGTGCACTCCCTAACATTCAAGGCTTTCTAACCAGTATGGACTCTGTAATGTTCAATGAGTTGTGAGCCAAGAATAAAGGCCTGCCCACATTCTCTACATTCATATGGTTTGATTCCCGGATGAATTCTCTGGTGTTCAGTAAGCTGTGAACTACGGATAAAGGCCATTCCACATTCTCTACACTCATAGGGTTTCTCATAAGTATGAATTCGCTGATGATGAGTCAGCTGTGAAACACGAATAAAAGCTTTCCCACATTCCTTACATTCATAGGGTTTGTCACCTGTATGAATTCTTTGATGTTGAGTAAGGTATGAACTACGACTAAAGGCCTTTCCACATTGCTTACATTCATATGGTCTGTCACCAGTATGAACTCTCTGATGTCGAGTAAGCTGTGCATGCTGTCTAAAGGCCTTCCCACATTCCTTACATTCATAGGGTTTCTCCCCAGAATGAATTCTTCGATGTCGAGTAACTTCTGAGCTATGAATAAAGCCCTTTCCACATTCCTTACATTCATAGGGTTTCTCACCAGTATGAATTCTCTGATGTACAGTAAGTTGTGAATGCTGTCTAAAGGCTTTCCCACATTCTTTACATTGATAGGGTCTAGCACCTGTATGAATTCTCCGATGTACAGTGAGTTGTGAGCCACGAATAAAGGCCTTCCCACAGTCTTTACATACATAGGGTTTCTCACCTGTATGAGTTCTTTGATGTAGAATAAGTTGTGAATGTTGTCTAAAAGTCTTTCCACATTCTTTACATTCATAGGGTTTGATACCAGTATGAACTCTCTGATGGAGAGTAAGTTCAGTGGTGCGACCAAAGGCTTTCCCACATTCCTTACAGTCATAAGGTTTCTCACCTGTGTGAATCCTCTGATGCTGAATGAGGTGTGAGGCACGACGGAAGGCTTTCCCACATTCCTTACATTCAAAGGGTTTTTCATCAGTATGAGTAATCTGATGTTGCGTAAGGTGTGCGCCACGACTAAATGCTTTCCCACATTCATTACATTCAGTTAGCTTCTCACCACTCTCATTTCCATGATGTAGTGTGAAGGATGTGTGATTCTCAAAAGTGGGCAGGTTTTCATAGGTGATTCTCACTTGCTTGAAATAGTACTCTTGAGTTTTTTGTTGTCTCTCAAATTGGTCTATGCATTTCCAGGCATCTCTAAAACTGGAGCCCTCAAGATCACAGTACTTAAGTCTTTCCATTATCTCCCAACTGAATGATTCTATTTCAAAAACATCTTTTTGTGGCAATTTCTCACACCTGGACACCAAGTCTGAAAAGTAAGAAAGTAAATACAAATTTTTCTCCTTTTCTATGAGAAATAAAAAATCTATAATAAAATGGAGACAAAATGAAAGTTCTATAGTAGACAAAATAACCATGAACAGTGAATGGCTTGAATACATCTCAAATATTGCTGTGCAATATTTTTTAAAGCACATGAAAGCACAAATGTAATGAGAACTCATGTGGTGACCAAAACAAAAGAAACCAAACCCGTTGCTGTCAAGTCGATTCCAACTCATAGTGAGCCTATAGGACAGTGTAGAACTGCCCCACAGGGTTTCCAAGGAACAGCTTGGTGGATTTTAACTGCTGACCTT